ATGAAAATTCCTTTTTAGGCATCGTTTTCCAAGTGGAAGAAGCTCTTGCTTATAAACATCATAGACTACAAAGTGCTGAGCTAATTTTATTCAACTCATGCCAATTACTGCAGAGTTTTCTCTAGCAAACTGAGAATTCCCCTAAAAGAATATGTAAAGAAATATGGAGGCTGGGCGGTGGTAGAGCACACCTTTAGTCATGAGGCAGAGGCAGATGGATCTCTGAGTTGGAGGCCAGCCTGGTCTACAAGGCTATGCGGAGAAACCTTGTCTTAAGAAACCATTAAAAAAAAAGAAATATGGAGATATGTTATATTTTGTATTTATGGCTTTCTTCATTACATTTTGATACTTTAAAACATTAAAAAAATCATATATGTACAACTGAGTGCCTTGTGAGTGCAGTGCTACGAGAAGCCAGAAGAGGGTGTAGGATGAATCCTAAAAACCCAGAGACAGACATTGGGGTTCAAGCTGAAGATCAGAAGAGCAGCAGCCAAGCCACCAGAGATCTCTTATCTACCAAGACTTGGGGAGGGAGATCCTGTCCTCAATGTGGCTGGAGACTAATTGCCAGAATATGAGACCCTGCTCCTATCTTACATACCTCTCTAGTGCTGGGGTAAAGGCTTGAGCTGTGTTTCTCTTTCAGACTGGTTCACTCTCATGTAGCCCTGGGTGGCCTTGAACTCAACAGAGATCCATCTTCCTCTGTCTCCTGAGTCCTGGGATTAAAGGTGTGTGCCACCACTGCCCAGCTTCTATGGCTGTGGCTAGCTTTGCATTCTGATCTTCAGGCAAGCTTTACTAGACCATAAACAATATACCACCACACTCTTGGAGTTGGAATTACAGGTGATCATGAGCCAGCCTACCTGGGAGTTGGAGAATGAACTGAGGTCCTCTGCATGAGCAATACATGTGCTCTTAACTCCTGAGCCATCTCTCCAGCCCCTAGTTTCTAGTTCTATGAAATAAAAATTCAACCAATATGAACTCATTCTCCTTAGTGTTTTTGTATTTTTGTCTTTTGTCTGTATAAGAACAAGTTAGAAAATTTGAATTCTTAGTAATGTTTGAAATTTTTAGTAATGTTTGAAAGCCCAACTTGGGCCACGAAGATGGCTCATTTGGTAAGGGTGTTTGCCACTAAGTCTGATGTTTTGAGCTGGATTCCTGGAACCCAAATAGTGGGAAGAGAGAACCACCCTCTTCTATTAGCTATCCTCTGATCTTTGCCACTGAAACACTGCCCCATCCCTCCTCCACACTAAATAAACGTAAAGATAAAAAGAGAGCATCTCACATTTTGTTAGTTTCTTTTTCTTATTATCATGGTGAAGTCATATGTGGGGAAATGATTTGGCCCTGCATGTGGGTTCTTCTCGTTCAAATACTGTTGGTAGTTTTTGTATTTTGTATTTTTATTTTTTTACTTTTTTTGTTGTTGTTGTTGTTCTTCAAAACAGGGTTTTTCTGTAACAGCTCTGGCTGTCCTGGAACTCACTCTGTAGACCAGGCTGGCTTCAAGCTAACAGAGATCCACCCGCCTCTGCTTTCTCAGTACTGGGATTACAGGTGTGTACCACTACTTCCCATCATAATTTTTATTTTTATAGGTGGATTTGTGTCTTTTACTCTATATTTAAGAGAATAGGGCTTATAAAGTTACAATTAAAAGTAAATTTAATGTTCGCAGGTAAAAAGAGAATATTTTCCAAAGACAATATGGAATGCTTGTATACATTCTAGAATATAAAGCATAACAGAAATCTGAAGCCATATGAGGGCTAGGAAATCAGATTTAATTTTAATTTTCATTTTTCAGGAGGAACCATGGTTCTTATTTACATTATCCAATTCAAATGTGAATGTATTTAATTTCTTCAGGAAATGTCAAAAATCATTTGAAATATGTAAGTTATTTATTAATTTGTAAAGATTTGATTACTAAGTATCTGAACCAACTCAATAGTAATTGCCTTGGCAGTTATCTCACTATGTACATGCAGGTTTTGAAAGATAACTGCTTTCACTATATTTCAAGAACTCCAGAGTATTAGGTTACTTTTAGTTTATGCTAGACTCAAATATATAAGTGCCATGAATCTTAAAAGTACAGCACAAGCTACTAATGAAAACATCCTAGGGACAAGGCAAAACCTATTTATAATAGTACAACTTCTGAATAAGTAAACTCTAATTCTCAGTGAATGCCCATCGGATTAAATTGTAGACTAAATTTTTAGAATTTATGGTATAGATTTAACAGTATAATTCAGTTCATTGTTAGATTAATGTGTTTTTATAATAATACAATTAATATATAATAATTTATATATAGTATAAAGAAAAGAGTGACAAAGTGTTTATTATTTAAGTTATAAGTGTTTGCTTGTCCTACAGAAAGTCTCTTATTGATATTTTTCTGAGTCTTGTAAGAATAGTATATATCTCAGTCTGGGTTTGTTGAAGGTTATTTACTTGACAGATTATAATGGTTTTGTGATAAACTTCTTTTATGCTACTCATAAAAACCACAGAATTTCTGTCTGCCCAGAGACTAATGAATTTATGTTAAACTGAAATGGAAGCTGAAAAATCACTTGGTTGTGACAATGAAATATAATTGGTTTTGGATTATTAGGAACTCTTGCCTTAGCAGAGAATCAAGACTGTAGCTGCTTTCTTTCAAAGGCTACTGGTAATTTTTAAGCTTGTAGTATTTGCTTAAAAAAATCCTATTAGCTTAATATTTTAGTGTGTGTCTTTGACAAAGAAAGTTTTATTTTTCCCAGTTTTTCCCCCTTCAAGTTCATTAGACTAATTACATTAGGAAAGTTCGGCATTATACTTGAGTATCTAGGGTGTACACAAAATAAACAATCCTTACCAATAGTAGGAGTGTCCGGAATCATAGAACACAATATTTTTGTAGTTAGGAAGATATGTTTAGATTTAGCTAGGATTAAATCTCTCCATCCCGTCCGCACGCGCTTGTGTGCGTGCGTGCGTGCGTGCGTGCGTGCGTGCGTGTAGTTAGAAACTGATTAAGATGCTTTTTTTGGAAAATGGTTGTAGTTTCTCATCTCTGTATTGCCTAGACTACTGTGGGTGCCTAAAATATGCATATCTGTGGTTAAGATAGATGAGGATTGAAATTTTGTAGTTAGTGCTTGATTCCTGGTTATTTAAGGAAGAGTATATCTTACATTGTACTAGTACAATAAACTCTTGCCACACAGACTTGCACATTTGAAATGAGGCTCTTTCACAGCCTAAAACGATTGTGATAAAGAAACTCTGGATTTTGAAGATTTGTTATACATAAAGGACATATACATATTTATGTATATATATAATTTCATAAGAACTTTTAATTTTGATTATATGATGTATTTTCATTTGCTAAATGAAATAAATTTTTAAAAAAAACTGTCTGGCAGTTTTAAAATAACCTATGTATCTCATACCATATTTCTCCTGGGCAGTTACATTCTGTGTTGATATTTTCTAGCCTTTTTACCTGACGACCTGGCAACAAAATGTCGCATAATTCTCCTTTGTTAAAAATTTAGAGCAGTTTTATCATTTAGGGATGGTGTTTGTTCACAATGTTTTGTTAAGAGCGTGTTGTATGAGTCAGTCATGGTGGCTCACTCCTGTAGAGGCAAGCGTATGGTAAATTATGCTCCCCCCCAAAGACTGACTGGGGGGAAAAAGAAAAAAAAAAGCTTCCCCTGGGCCAAACAATATCCTAAGATCCAAGTGTTGATGAAAACATAGAAAGCCCAGTGCAGTTTTCATTCTGTCACGAGAAGTACCTGACATGAGGCTGGAAACAGTGCTCAGTGTTAGAGCTTGCTCTTTTCATGCATGAGTCCGAGCTTAGGTCCCTAGCTCCACCAAATAAATAAACCACATCTGTTCTTTTAAAAGCTGGGTACAATCCCAACACTTGGAGGCAGAGGCAGGTGGATCTTTTGACTTGGCAGCCAGCCTGGTCTCCAGAGTGAGTTCCAGGACAGCCAGGGCTACACAGAGAAACCCTGTCTGGAAAAGCAGACAGACAAGCAACAGAAAACTAGGCCCACTAGGCAGGTTGATGTAGGAGGACTATGAATTGAGGCTACCCAGTGCTACATGTAGGAACCTGTCTGTCTCTAAAATCAAGGACTGGTGGTTAGCTAAGTCATAGAGAACTTTCCTAGTACATGCCAGACTGAGTTTGATGGAACCTGCACCACAAACACATACATACAAATACGATAAGAAATTTTAGTTCATAGTTTTAAATATATTTGTTGTGAACATACTATTAAATAGTAAGTAATATACTTCCATATAATACTTGAGCACAGTGTTTAATTAAGTGACATCAATTATAAGAATTGAATTGATTTAACAGTTGTTCTTAATGCTTTTCTCTGAACTTCCTGAATCTGTGATTCGGTGGTGTCTCATTAATATTAGTGTTCTTGTTTCATCATGTGGGTCTTGGGGGATTGAACTTGGGCCTTCAATCTTGGTGACAAGCACATTTGCCTGTTGAGCTATCTCTTGTGCCCTGACACTGTGTTTTTGATCTGTAGAATTTGTCTTTGATTCTTTGTTAGGAATTTTGTTAATTTACTTACATTACTTATCTGTTGTTTGTTGTCTTCTCCCATGATTAAAACCCCATTGGTTATTGATTATGGTTGTTTTAAATTCCTTATCAGATGATTTCAAGTTTTAAAACTGTATTTTTCCTCTTAGAGTGCTTTGTAAGCTTTTTTAACTGAAAACTGGATATGATGTACCATGTAAAATGAACTCTATTAAATGTCTAATAAGATGCCAAACATTTAAAAAATGACACTGCATAGTCTGGTATTTAGGTCTGCCCTTCAGTGTTTCTGTGTCTTGTGGATTAGAAAGGATGGGTGGGGGTGGGGCTTGGGGTTAGGTATTTCCCTTTCTCTAAGGTGGAAAGCAGGAGTAGACTGGAGCTCAGTGGATCTTTAATTTATGGTTAATCACACTGGACCAAAAACAAAAGCCAGGAGACTTGTCAACAGATTTCTTAGAAAGTCATATCCCTGGTAACTTTTGCCTGTTCTTATTTGACCTATTATGCACTTTTAAATACCCTACATTTCTGTGCCTTACTGACCATATTTTCACTCTCCTTTGCAGCCGCCTCCCTTCTGTAGCTCCCTCCCTTTCTCATAACCATTACTAAGCTCCCTAGCCTTTGTCATGGCTCCTTTCCCTTGTTTTTACCCTCAGCCTAGGTAAACTCCCATTCCTTGGCTTTAAATGCTGTTTATATGCCCTGACTTCTCTAAGTACTGTATAATTATGACCTCTTATTTGAACTCTAGCCTTGTTTGGCTGACTCCACATGGGTGGCTGATGCATACTTCCAATATAATATGACCCTAAGAAGACTTGAAAAAAAAAAAAAGATTCCCAAGTATGTCTTACTTTAAAAATGTCACCATCCACCATGCACTTGCTGAATTGAGAAAACCAAGGGTTACTTTGGTTCCTTTTTTTCCTTCTTAAACCCTTGCAAAGTGTTGATCCTCAAATGTTTTGTTGACTCCTCCTTGAAACACATTTAAATAGAATTTTCATCATTCTTATTAATACCTCACTAGTCCAAGCAACCAGTTTGGCTTGCATTGATTCAGTAACTGCCTCTCTGGTTCCTCTGCCTTCCAGGTCATATCTGAGGGGCAACTAGAGTGAGATAGTGCGCTCTCTCTCTCTCTCTCTCTCTCTCTCTTTCTCTCTCTCTCAAATCAAGTTATTTCCGTCACCTAAAATTCTAATGATTCTCCCTCAGTTTTAAGTAGAAAATTCAATGGTCTGTCTATATCTACTACTCTGGTCTTACTGTTCTTTCTGTAGTCATTATGTTCTGGACATAGTTGCTATTTTTTTTTTTCCCACAATCACATCAAAGTTACTCTTACCCAAAGCTTTATGTTATCATTTTTGAGTGGGTGGCATATATCTCAAATTCATATTAGCTTGTTATTGTTTGAGATCTTAGAGAAGATATCACCAAGAGAGAAACCTTGAGAGGCCCACCCTCATCCACACATTCAAATTCACCCTGGTGCCAATATAAACATGCTCTATGCCTTAGCTTTCCTAAACACTTACAAAGCCTTCGTTAGAGTATCATGCCTGTCCTTCTCTTAGTTTTATATTGCTGTGTTAAGACATCATGACCAAGGCAACTTAGAAAGAGTTTAATTTGGGGCTTACAGTTTCCACAGAATGCTGGTGACGTGGCTCTTCCCAGGACCTCTGTAGCAGGGGAGGGGAGAGGAGGACTCAAGGCCCATAAGTACTAAGACCCCAGCTGAGCCTCAGCAATCTGCACAGAGGGGTTAACTCACCCAGCCCACGTTCTGCGACGTTCTGCGGCACACAGCAGATTCTGTGGCCATCAAGCTGGGGTGCATGGCAGCAGGCAGCAGGCAGCAGGCAGCAGGCAGCAGAGCAGTAGCTGAAAGCTCACCTCTCTATCCACAAGCACAAGACAGAAGGATTGAGACACTGGGGATAGTGTGGGCTTTTGAAACCTCAAAGCTTGCCCAAGTGACACACTTCCTCCAACAAGGCCACATCTCCTAATCCTTCCCAAACAATGCACCAACTGGAGACCAACTATTCAAATATATCCAAATTATACTTATGTTATAGCCACCTTTCACAGGAATGAAGCTTTTATTTTTTTAAAGTTCTTAATTTTTAAAGTAAATTCATCTTCCCTCCCCTCCCTTCTCTCTAGCATATTCCTCTAAATGCAAACTTTGTGAGGGCAGAATTTTTATTCGTCAACACTCACTGCATCTTTTTAGTATTTAGCATAGTATCAGACATGTTTACCAATGAAAGTTTAAATGAACTGTTGATTTTGAGATTGAATACATGTTAGATGGAGACGAAGACTCTAGCTTCTTTCTGCCCATGCAGACAATTATTTTATGACTCAGGGACTATTGTTTTCTGCCTTATGAAAGAAACTGATTTATTTCCATAATTATGCATTTTGATTTGATTTTGAAAACTAATAGTTTTAAATGAAAAAGGTGTGTGGTGTGGCTGGTTATTATATTCTGAATGAAAACAGATTGCTTGAGTCAGAGTTTCTTACTGTCTTTCTAAAGTTGACTTCCAAAGCACAGGCTAAGCATTTCAGTTCTATGAAATAATTGTGATTATATTGAACTAAAGGATATTATCTTGAAATAAATTTACAGACTTCTTTACTATTGTGTGCTTTTTAAATTATCATTTTATTTTTAAAATTTTGCCTTAATCCAGTTATCTATTTTGTGTGTTAATGAAGTATATTCAACTCAGAATAAATTAATTAAAACCTGCATAATGGTTGGAGCCATCAATCATAGTTAAGTGATTTAAAACTCAGTGATTTGTAGTAATATGCACATTTAATTTCTGCAAACTGCCAAACCTATACTTTTTGACCATATGTCTCAAAGGCTCCAAAACTAAGATTTCAGATATTTTTTGGCTGGGTTTGGTGACACATGCTTTTAATCTTAGAACTTAGAAGGCAGAAGAAGGCATATCTCTGCAAATTTAAGGCCAGCTTGGTCTACTTACAGAATTCCGGGCCAGCCAAAGCTACATAGTGAGACAATATCTCAAAAAACCAAAACCAAAAGGTTGTTGTATTTGGTACTTAATTTCTGGAAAATTCCTTTCATCAATTTTTTTCTCATGCATATTTTGCTGTCATATCTTAAAAGATCTTCACGTAATAAAACGTTGCAAAATTTTTCTTCCTTTTCTCCCTCCTAGATGTTATAAGAGTTTTAGCTTTTCCATGTAGGCCCATGACTCATTTAGATGGATTTTACCATTTTCATACATATATGAGATATGTGTTGAGATTTTTTTTTCTATACTGAATTGCTCCCCTCCCCAAATATTGTACAAGTTCAGTGGCATATTTCTGGTCTCTTCTCTTTGCATTTTTCCTGTATCTCATTCTTGGCCAGTACAGCATTATCCTTATCCTAGTGTCGGTAGGTAATGTGAATCCTTCAAATTTGTTCTTTTTCAGAATTATTTTGGCTATTTTAGTTCTTCTGCTGATAACTCACTTTAGTCAGCTTGTCAGTGTCCATAGAAATCCTTCAAGAATGTGGTTGTAATTGCTCACAAGTCAGTTTGAGGACAGAAAGATCATACTCTTAAGCAGTCTCTTCTGTGAGTGCAGTGTATCATTGCATTTATGTAGGCCATCTGGATATTCTTTGTGTTTTATAATTTTTAGTGTATGGAACATGCATATTTTGTGAAGTTTGTTTTGTTGTTACTGGAAGTGGAGCCCAGGGACCTGTGATATCAATCTTTACCCTGGCACTCACTATGCTAATATTGATATGTACTTTTGGAGGCATTATTAGAGTTGTTCTTTTAGGAGTTGTATTAGGGTTCTCTAGAGGAACTGAACCAATAGACTGAAAAAACAAAAAAGGGAATTATTAAGAGTGGGCTGTGGTCTGGCTATCTGAACAACTGTCTCCCAATGCAGTAGTTGTTCAGTACACAAGGTTGGATGTCTGTGTTGGAATCAGAATGAAGAAAGTTCTAATACCAGCAAAGGAATGCCTCCACAACAGCAGGAGAGATGAACTTGCCAGCCAAAGTGAAGGCAAGCAGGCAAAAAGCAAAAGTTGGAACTGGAAGTTGTGGACAGATTTAGGGTGGGTCTTCTCACCTCAAATGATCTAATCAAGAAAATCCCTCACAGGTGTGCTAGACTGCTTAGGTTTTAATTGATTCCAGATGTAGTCACCCATAGACAACCAAGATTAGCCATCACCGGAAGTATTGGAGTTATTACTGCTTTCAAGTTTTCTGTGTCTGGTCTGTTTTTCACATCTGTGATTATGAAGTACAAATGGTTTAGTATTTTGACTGTTTTGTCTGTAACCTGACTAAATGCCTGTGAGGATAAATGTTCTGGGACTTTTTTTTCTTTGTATATTCCTTGGGATATTCTATACAGAAATCATATGATATGTTAATACAGAGATTTATTTTCTAATCTGTTTGCCTTTTCTTGCCATGATATACTTAGTGGACCCTCTAGTATAATACTAGAAATGAATGATGAAAATATTTTACTTCACTCCCCGTCTTGGGGTAAGAATTCTTCTTGCACTGTTAATTCTGATCTAAACTTTAGGCTTTTGTGATTTGTGCTTGATTAAGAAATTTATTTTATTCCCAAATTTCTTGAGTTTTTTTTTTCCTTTAAAAATGGATTTTACATACTGTGAAATGCTAGGAGATCCTTTTTTTTTTTTTAAACATAAAAATCCTTTAATATGGTTGATTTCAGTGACTGATCCTGTCTTGAGTTCATAAAATAAGCCATACTTGGCTGTGTCACCTTATTCCATTTGTATATTGCTATAGTTGTACATTCATTTTTAAAATAGAAATTAAGTAGATATTATTACTAGTTATAACTACACGGATCCTGAAACCCATTGGAAAATGTATTTCCAATGTGTTTTGATGATTTGGATGGCTGTGGTGGTATGTCCATATACCCTGTATTTAGGCTGGAGAGACAGCACCATCAGCCAGAGAGGCAGCATGATCAGGAATTCAAGGCAAGTACAAATAACAAGTACATTGCCCAAGCAGTATTCTAGTGTAGGAGATTAGAACATAGACTGAAGCTTGCCTTCAGGGTCTAGAGTGATGGCATGGTGGTTAAAAGCATCCCTGTTCTTCCAGAGGACCCAGGTTCAAGTCCCAGCACCCACACGGCAGCTGACAAGAGATCTAACACCCTCTTCTGGCTTTCACAGACACTACACACACAAGGTACACAGGCATACATGCAGGCAAAACACCCATATACATAACACTAAATAAATTTGAAAAAGAAAACCCAAAAACCTACCCTTAAATTGCATTCCTTCCCAGAACGCAAAATAATGTCTGATAGTGCTATGTGAAGAACAAGAAAGCAGTCCCAGAGAGAAGGACTAAAGCTGTTTTCAATACATTGGTCAGGGGAGGGCTTTAAAGTACTGTCACTTGTTGATTTTCAAGACTGACATGAAGCCCAGTGTTCCTAGAGTGTATTAATCCATGCAGAAAACTGTAGAAGATGAAATAGGCAGAGGCCTGTGATGTAGGCCATGAAAATGATAACTTCAGATTTATTCTAAATACAGGACCATGTAGTCAGCAAATATTTATAGAGTATCTGCCTGGTCACATTGGTTTTCATATAATAGCAAAGTAGCAGTTTAGCATTAGACTCCAGAGCTTATAAGAGCTAGTGATGTATATACTTCACAGAATATGAAAGTAGGCACAATTGGTGCTTTAGAATATTTTCAATTGGGAGGTATGGAAAACAATTACATATATGTGTATAAAATTTAAATAATTGAATCTACTTACATGTTAAATACTAAAACCATGAGTACAAGTCAGCCTTTTTTATTTAAGAGATATAAATATTTTTATGAGTTTCTTGTGTTACATCTTATTTCTGCTTGGGTTTTTTTTTTTTTAATAAGACATATTTGGAAATAGTGCACAGAAGAACATCATGGAAATTTTAAGTAGGGGTTGTGATATGTCTGGGCTTTCCCTTCCAGAGACTATAATCTAAAAGTCTTCAAGGCAAATGCAATTACCTGTAAGATGTAATTATAATCTCAAATAATAAAATAAACTTAAAAAGGTAGACATCTGTTCATGTAACAAAATCCCTCCAAATTTAATTATTTAGGATATTCTTCTTCAGCTTCTTTGTCTTGACTCTGGGCAGGTCTCTCATCAGCTCTAAGCAGGTGTTAGCAGGTGCTGCAGTCATCTCAAGGGGACTGGAAAGAGTCTAATCCCAGATCACTTACAACTGCCTTTGGGAGGCGTTATTTCTTTGCCATGGGTCGTTCCAGCTCACAGACTAGCAGTTAGCTTCTTTACTAAGGGGAAAGACAGTAAGGTGGAGGAGTCAGTCTCTTCATCAACTTAATCTCAGAAGTCTTATTCTGTTATTTCTGTTGGGTCCAATCACCTCAACTACACTACTCAGTCTAATTCATATTCAAGAGGAGAGATTATTCAGTTATGAATGCCAATAGATGTGATTAGGGTCATTTTGGAACTGTCTAGTATAACAGAGACCTCAAAAATTTCTCTTCTATTCTCATTTTCAACCATCAGTGGTCCTTAGTCACTTTATCTTTGGATTTATTTTCCTTTCTCTCTCTCTCTCTCTCTCTCTCTCTCTCTCTCTCTCTCTCTGTGTGTGTGTGTGTGTGTGTGTGTGTGTGTGTGTGGTGTGTGTGTGCTGTGGCTTTGGAGGCTGTCCTGGAACTATCTCTTGTAGACCAGGCTGGTCTCGAACTCAGAAATTTGCCTGCATCTGCCTCCTGAGTAATGGGATTAAAGGCATGAGCCACCAATGCCCAGCCACTGCTAGTTTTTTTAACAAATAATTTTTTAAACCTTTTTTTCTTCTTGGTCATTTGTGCTAGTTTTATGGAAAATAAAAGTGAAGTAAGTACAGTGACAGCTAGCATCTGAGCGCACAAAATATTAGAGTGCATGAGGTGTGTTGAAAAAATTACGGAATGTAATAGTTCCAGTGTCATTAATACTTAATAATACTTAATAATGAGATTAAGTATCATTAAAAACTTAAAATAGTTACTGTAAAGTTTTTCACTAAGTGTACTCTTGGTAAGTTTTAGTGATACTACATTGCCTTTTTTTGTATGTCTGAACATAGGGCTTCATTCTTTTCTTTTGAAATTTAACTTTGCCATTAATCTTTACTGGTTATTTGGCATGGTTTTCACTATTTTGTAGGTAGGAGGGATATATTCTACATAATAACTAATAAATGTATATATATGAGAACAGAAAAACATGGTAGATACACATTTTCAGGAAAAATACTTGTCTCAGATCAGGCAATTTCTCACTGACACATTGAGCTATGAACTCATACATTTTGTGCTCAATTAGGTCTACTTATTAACATATTACTTAGCATATATATATATATATATATATATATATATATATATATATATAT